AGCTTCCTAGTCTTGAAAAGTATGTTTTAGCCAGGCATGGTGTTGCAAGCCAGTAGTCCCAGCACTTGGAGCCAAAGAGGCAGGAGGGTAGTTGCTTTAAGTCTAGCTTAAGCTACATATTGAATTCCAGGCCATCTTGAGATACTTAGCAATCATCTGTCTCAAAAGCATATAAGTTACTTGGCAGATGTAGATAGATACTAAAGGGTTTCATAGGTATTTCTTTGGAGATACATGTCTCCAAAAATCTACATATTTATTTAAGAGAGCTGCCAAGAAAAAAAAATGATCAGAATTAACATGTATCTCTAAAAAATAAGATTGAATTGACCTTGGTTTTTTTTTTTGTATGTATACAATCTAAAGCACTGATTTATGTATCTTATGATCTCCATGGAACTTTATAATTGGCACTTTTCTCTACATTTTTATACATAAGAAAACTAGGTAATGGGGGGGGGGTCCTTGCTCAGAGCTGTGTGTGGGATCTGAACCTAAGGAGTCTGGGTTTTCTGACTGCTGCTGTTCAACTTTCAGTTCTATATAGATCCGTATAAGCTGCTGCCATTGCAGCGGTTTCTGCCTCGTCCTCCTGGTGAGAAAGGACCTCCCAGAGGCGGTGGCGGTGGTGGCAGGGGAGGTCGAGGAGGAGGAAGAGGAGGTGGTGGCCGAGGTGGTGGAAGAGGTGGTAAGTTATTGTGGGGGGTTTCTAATGAGGATTGTAGCCACATTTGATTTATACAGAACACTTCCCTTACCTTTATTTCTCTTACATATTGCCTATATAGTTTCACAGCTTCAATAGAAGAAAAAATTTAATTTTACCTTTGCAAGATTTCGGACCCTTGGATTATTTGTGTTTTAATAGAGATTTTAACAGAGGCCGTCAGCCATTGCTTAGTAATGATTCATTCTGAGAAATGCAGCGTTGGGCAGTTTCATTGTGTACACTTAGATCCTCATGTAGAGCGTGATTGCTCAGCATGGCTTCTTAGTGCAGTGGAGGATTGGAAGGTGGAGGCTAATGCTGGTGAAATGGGGCAGGCTGCTTTATACTTCTTGAGAAAGGGATATACTGTAGAGTCACGGTATAAAGGGAAGTAAATACACAAACCGGTAGCAGTTATTTTTAACCACTGTCGGGCATTGGCTGCTATACACAACTAGATGTGCTATGCTCTTAGATGACTGGTCTTACATATTCCAACAGTGCTGTGAACGTGAGTCATGACTTGCTCTACAATGTGAGAAAGTAGGGTTTTCTAGGTCCGTTATTATTTTAGGAGGCTTATATGTTATGTATGAAGTGCTATTTTATATGTACAAAAATTACCTAACTGAATTGTAGTTTCTTAGTTATCAGGGAGTATTTTGATTTTATATGCCAAGAGCTAGCCTTATGTCTACTTAATGTCCAAGCATATTCTTTTAGTTTTTCCAAAAAGTTTTCCAATGACCTTCATGTGCATGCTCTAGCACACATACATACACATACAGAAAATACATGCGAAAAACAGTTAACCCTACTGCTCACTTGGGAATCTGCTATTTCTTTATCTTTATCTTTTAAAGGTTACTGTAAAATACGATAGATGAACTTGTATTTAGTCTTTATGATCATAGGAATGGCACAACTTGTACGGCTTACAGAAAATGAGAAGCATCATTATTTAACAAGTGTTTCCTCTTTAAGGTGGCTTTAGAGGTGGAAGAGGTGGAGGTGGGGGCTTCAGAGGAGGAAGAGGAGGTGGTGGATTCCGAGGTGAGTATGAGGAAGATGCCTTTAAATAACTGGATTTGTAGACGGATGCTGTCTGTTCATTTCTTTCCATTTAGGTTTATTTCTTTCCCAACAAGTATGGCAAACACTGGGATGTTCTTGGCTTTAGCTTAATTTATGACTCCACTCTCTACCATTACTTACTAATTTCTCACCAAATTATTTTGTTATATTAATAATTCAAAATAAAAAAATATATGATATGAATGGCAGTTGTATTTGGTAATGTAAATTTATGAAACACTGTAGGAACTCCTGTTGATGTTGAAGTTGAATTTGGGTGTTAGCGCTGTTACAAGCCTTCTTGATTTTCCTTTGATCAGGAAGAGGACATTAGATGTGGCAGTTGGCAGACCTCACGTCTTCTGTTTTCTCTGCGTGATCTTCTGCTGTGATTGAAGTCTGTCTGGAGCCTTGAGGATGCGCTCCGTCCGTGGAGCTGAATCGTCAGCACTGGGTACAAACAAGTGGGGAGAACAGTCACCTGTGCCCAGAAGGAGCATGAAGACCCCGCTCTGTGCAGTACCTGGGACTTAAGCCTGGTGGGTGCTTAAGGAACAACAGGACTTCTCTGAAGCATCCTTGGAGTTTTTTAAATAAAATTTTTTATTTCTTTAACTTATTGTTTGTTGATCGAAACCTATTTTTTGAAATTTGGAAGAACAAGCAAAGCTTAAACCCATTGAATTACAGATAGAAAAGGGGGGGTGGGTGAGTTTTGTTTAAAAATACTATGATTCTAAAAGGTACCAGATAAGCTCGATTGAACAGCTCCCCCCCTCCCAACAAATCAGGCATTTGGAACAGCACTTTAAAATCACTCAGACATGAACTCCTCCTTCAGAATAGGGCAGAGCAGCAGTGTTTGCTGTTCTTCACTTTTGTGTTTTATAATACACAGATTAAAGCTGTTTCAGTAATCACAGGTAAGAATTATTTTAAAATTTTTATTTTGGGTCCATTAAGATTTGTGTAGCTCTGTTCATGTGAAAACTATAGTTCAAGAAATTTAGAAATAGAATTTTAAATATGGGTTATTAAAAGTTTTCTAAAATAAAATTTTTAATGAAAAAGTTATTTACCTTTATTTTGAAAATATTTGACTACGTATCACATTTTTCAAATCCTGATTTGACTACGTATCACATTTTTCAAATCCTGGGTTAGGGATGCTATATATGAAATTGGCTTTGATTGCCGTTGCTAGTGTGCTGTCAGAAATTAAGCACCATAGCAAGTGAGGGTGCCTCAGTGTGGAACTGTGTGCCAGCAAGCAAGCCTGCCTCAGTATGGAACCGTGTGCCAGCTGTAGGTTCTGTTACCCCCTTGTTGGTTTCTTCTCAAGTCTGTTTTAGCATGAGTTACTTATTCTTAAGTGCTTGTTTTAGCAGTGAAATTGTGCCTGTGTCTGAGTTCTACCTTTTGTTGTTAATGGAATCGCAGTGCAATAAATACACAGGTGAAAGCAAAGGCATGGTGGCAGGAGCAGCTGAGAGCTCACATCTTTATCTGCCAGTGGGAATGGCGTGGACTTTTGAAACCTGGAAGCTGGCCTTCGGGATACATGCCTCCTAATCCTTCCCCAATAGTTTTACTACTAGGGACCAAGTATTCAAACATGAACCTAAAGGAACCATTCTCGTCCACTTCATCAGTTTGTGAAGGGCATTAACACTCAAGGATGGATGCAACGTTAGCAAGAGTTGTGAATACGGCAAAGGTGACAGGATTGTAGAGACTGTACACAAACCTGGAGAATACACTTTAAAATTAGTTTATTTGAGACATAGTTCATATCCAAGACTGACCTCAAATTCTGTATACCCAGTGCTGGGGTTGTAGAATGCAGTGCCATGCACAGTGAAACTTCTCTTTTTACCTTACATGAACAATTAAGAGGTTAAACACTCATTTCTGTATATCACCCTTCCTGTTTTGTGTTGGTTTTTGTTGAAATATTTAAGTTCAAATCAAATTCAAATCAACATCACCTCCTGAACTTTGGGATACTTTGGAGATTTACATGATTGTTTCACATTCAGTTATTAAAAATAAGTACTGTTTAATCACTTTAAAATTCCAAATATTGGTCGCCTAACCCAACCTGTTCCCTAGACAGAACCCTGCAACCAGAAAGGCCCTCTAATGAAGTGGGTGATGAGCAAATGCAGCCCTCTAGTGTTTCTGTTTCATGCTGCATGGAATTTGGTGACATTTGAGTCTTGCTTTGAAGCTCTAAAAGTAATCGAGATACCCATACCCCTTTACCATAGCAATGCATGTTCATACTTGGTTTTTATGTGACAGTGTAGACAATTAGGATTATCCTGTACTTGATAAGCTGAGTGGTTGACTAAATAGTGTGAACTCATATGCATGTTAAATTGTGGGAGAATTAACTGAGGTGGCATAGAGCAGGTCGTAACCATGCAGTGGGACATGTGGCTATTAGGCTTAGGAAGGGATTTATGGACTGGTATTTAGGGGGAACAAGCTGCACCATGTGTGTTTGTATGTTGCATATAGACAGACATACTGGTTCCACATGGTAGATCCCCTCATTTTTGTTTGGAAGGAAAGAAGTTGGAAAAACTGCAAGTTTTTAGGGTATAGTTTTGTGTAACTAGATAGATAAAAAAAAAGCATTAGGATTATGCCAGGTAATATTTGTGCATTTCATGGAGAGATTGGGAAGTATGGGAGTCAATAGAGTATTCAAATTTTTAGGAAAAGTAAATACAAAGGGACCTGAGGTGAAGAATCTCAACCAGTTTGTGCAGTTCAGTCTCTAGTACAGAAAGGCAGCCCTTCGCCTGAAGATGGGGGGGCTTGGTTTCAGGCAGATGAGTTCAGGCTGCTCCCGACAGCCTTTCTGAGTGGGGTTTATGTGTCTTGTGTATTGGTTTGTTCTTTGAACAGGCTGGTTTGCTTGGTAATCTGCTGATAAATACTAGACAGGAGGCTAAATTGGTTAAGATGTGTGGTGGTTGGGGTTTCTCTTTAAGAAGATTTCCCCTTGTTCTAGGAATTAAAATGTTTTCCTCTTCGGCCCAATTAAGTGTTAATGGAGGGCCTCTAATGAAAAAGCCTTTCTTTGTGGTCTAGAAGTGGAAATGATTTGTCCTGAAAGAACTTTCCTGACAGGCTCCTGGAGCTGATTGCGATCTCCCGAAGGCTCTTCAGAAGGTGGTCTGGACTCTCCAGAATGCTGAGCAACACTTTAGATTTAAACACTTCAGGATTTAGGAACGAAGGCGATTCTGTGTTTTCAAAGACAGAACACAGCATCATTGCAGCTTACCTGATTGTGGCAGGTATGGGTATTCATTTAGTTACCTGCTTCTTGGATGGGAGAAAGGAAGAGGTGTTTGGTACAAGCATGTAGTGTGGGCTAGCTGGTAAACGGGACTGTACCAGTCAGAGAAAATATGAATGAAAGAAAAAATGACAGCAATGTTATGCTGCTTCTTGACATGGTAGATTTTTTTAATCAATGAGAGCAAAGGGGTAAGAAAAGCTCTATAAAATGAAGTTTTAGAAAAGAAATTATCCATATATTTGGTTCTTACATTAAATGTAAACATGAACACTGTCTGCACCATGGTAAAAGCATGCTTTGTATCATTTACCATTCTCATGCATAATTTGCATAGTTTTTGGTAGATTTAGTATTGGAAGGTACTGGAGGAAGAGCTCAAGTTTGAAAAAGAAAGTAGAGGGTGCAGATGAGGTATGCAAATTCAGCTCCTCCAGCAGCAGTCGTGGGAAGCAGGGCTGTAGGGGGTAGCTGTGAAAGATAGTGCACCTTTTTACTCTTCCATGTTCTCATGTATGAAATGAAGATAATAAAGGGATCTGTCATGATTGATATGAAGAGTATATTAAATGTCATTGAGACTCCTAAGGGGCATAGATAGTTGTTGGGCAAATATGTTTGCTAAAAAGATCTAAAGGATTTTGTCAAATTTGCTATTATTGTGCTTGAAAGAATAATAGAAATCAGGCTGACTGAAGTTAGTGGCATTCCAATCATCAAAAACTTGCTGTATGGCACATACTCGAGATAGAGTTCATTAGGAGCCTGAGGTGTATAAGGCAGGGCAACATAAACACTGAATGTCAGCATCACTCAAGAATAAGAATAAGCAAGCACTCTCGGAAAGTATGGAGAAAGCGATAGAATCCCATGGATAGGAGGCTGCTTCAGAGCTCAGCCGGGCTTGGCCTGAACTTTAAAGGATGGCTAGCATTTTAACATACAGAGGAACAGCACGGGGTATGCTTTATAAATTTGCAAAACTTCTGAAACAGTGGGCTTATTTCATAAGTGTGGAAAGAGGATCACAGCAGATTAGGGCAAAGAGCCTAGACAATCAGGTTAGGACACTGGGCTTTTCATTCTTCAAGTACTGGGGAACTGGAAGCTTCTGTAGAGCTATTGCTTATTATTTGACCAAGCAAGCATACCAGCCATGTGGAGAAAAGAAAACAGGAATATGAAAGATTGGTGTAAAAGGATTCCAATTAAGAAGTTTTGATGGAAGCACCAAGATAGAATGGAAGTCACTTAGCTGGTCCTTCTGTGTGTTGATGTTTGGGATTATTCCCACTGGTTTGAACAGTAGCTGGGGATTGCTCATCAAGTAGTTATTTTCCTGGGAAACACGATTCTCTTCTGTATGTTGCATAACCTAGAGAGACGTCCTGTAACGGTTGCAGCTTCTCCATTGAAACTGACTTTGCAGCAGCCTCTGCCACTGGACCTGAGACTGGCCTACATCTGGCACATGAAAAACATATGCATCCTTTCAGCATGGAGAGAATGTTGAGCCAGCTAGCATTTGCACCCCGTGTACTCAGTGATGGTTCTTATTGTTAGTGGCCATACCAGCATGCTGGTTAGTAACTTTAGTCCTCAGCTATAAAGCTGTCTAGACCTGTCCAACTGTGGAGCACTGAAAACACTGAGTTTCTGGATTCCAAGGCTGGGAATCTGATATCTATGGTGCTATCACCTGTGATATTCCAACGAACCAGAAATCTGTCTCGGCCTGCTGTCTGAATGGTCAAGTATTGCAGTATGCATTCTAGTATAGTGTGTGTGTGTGTGTGTGTGTTTGTGCGTGTGTGTGTGCGTGTGCACGTGTGTTGAATGAAGAATTTTAATTTTGACATGTTGAATTTTAAATACTGGGAAAGTCACATGAGCTTACTACTACATGCTTAATGTGCTAAATAATAATGAATCATAAAAATATGAGAAGTGACAGATGCTGTTAGGATGGAATGCTGTTTGAGGCTTGTTTAAGGAAACTAGGCAGACTGAAGAGGGATTTAGTCTGCCACAGGAAAGGGTGGCTGGTCGTTCTTGTATCCTAATAACCCCAATACATTGGAGTTATGAAAGCTACAGGGGGAATTTAGGGACAAATGGCCAGTGGTGATGACGTTTGGACCAGCCTTCGGTGCTGGCTTCTGCAGTCAACAGGCTCTTTGTGTTCTAATTTCATTTTCAGTCACAGAAGATGTTACAGTTTTAAGAGAAGTGGGACCTCGTCAAACAGAAGGACTAAGCTGGATTGCTATCTCTTTTGAAGTAACTTAAATATTTAATTTTTATTCTAGTCTAAATATTAAAGTTAAACAAAATGCATGATCCGTTTGTGTGTACCCTTAGGTATAATAAGCATTCTCAGCAACATAATAGTCCTGGGCATCTTCATTAAGTACAAGGAACTGCGGACACCTACGAATGCGGTGATTATTAACCTGGCTTTCACGGATATAGGGGTCAGTGGCATTGGCTATCCCATGTCTGCTGCTTCAGATCTGCATGGAAGCTGGAAATTTGGATATACAGGCTGTCAGGTATTGGGGAACTTTGGAATAAAACAAGATGAAATAACAGATTCAAATTTAAATGTCTTTTTAAGAATTCTAAGAACTGGGGCTGGGGAAGTGGATCAGTGGGTAAAGTGCTTGCTTAGGAGCAAGGTGACCTGGATTAGGATGCCAACACCTATGGAAAAGCCCAGGGTGGCAGCACACACCTTTAATTCCAGCTCAAGGGAAGAAGAGGCAGGCAGGCAGGATCCAGGGGGCTTCAAGGCAAGCCAGTTTAGCCAAACTCCCTGTTCAGGGAGAGACCCTAACTCAAAAAAATAAAATAAAATAAAACAAAACAAAATTAAAAAGTGGAGAGCAATAGAAAAGACACTTATGTCAACCTCTGCCCTTCAAATGTTCACACATGGGTGTGTGTACCTGCACACATGTGTACAGACATGTACATATCACACGTACAAATAACAAAAATCCAGTAATTTAAAACAAGATATTGTAGGACAAGAGATTTGCTTTTGTGGAAAATAGCGTCAGCAATGGTTGAGGATATATTTATTTTTTTAATAGTTTATACATTTTGTGTAGGGTGCTTTGCGTGCATATATAGATATATATCTTGTACCACATGCATATAGTGCTGGTGGAGGCCAGAAGAGGGCAGTGGATTCCCTAGAACTGGAGTTACAGGTGGTTGTGAGAGGCTGTGTGAGTCCTGGGAATTGAACTCTGGTCCTCTGGAAGAGCAACCAGTGCTTTTAACTGCTGAACCATCTTTCTAGTCCCAAGAATCAATTCTTTAAGAGGAGGTGTAAGATCACTAATCAATAAAATTCCTCGAACCCAAAGAAACAAAATCAAGGAGCCAAACTACTGGCATTAAACTACAGAAAAAATAATCTGCATATTCCAATAAAATGCACATATTACAATTTTAAATGTATAATCTCCTTTCATTTCAAACAAAATATTTAGTGGCAATCATATTCACTAAGAAATGTACTCATGTTGCCATAGTTAATTTTTTACTGTAGAAGTTCCTTTGTGAGAAACGTTTATAAATGTATTTACTATTGTTTCTACTGACAAGGAAATGTATTGGCGCTAATTTGCAGTGGGAGTGTAGGCAAATACAGTTTGTATTTTACTTTAATAGTAAATTATTAATAGTCTATTATTCTAAGCCATAAGATAATAGAGGATAAAGCAAGAGCAATGGAGACTGCTAGATGCTCTTCAGCGTACCCGTCAGTTTGTCAGAGCCTCTGCTTTCCAATCTACACTTCAGACTTCTCTTTCTTTCTTTCAGCCCTGGCTGTCCTGGAACTCACTCTGTAGACCAGGCTACCCTCAAACTCAGATCTGCCTGCCTCGCATCCCTAATGCTGGTATTGAAGGTGTGTGCCACCATGGCCAGCTGAACTCCTTATTCTTTCAGTTGAAAGTGCTAACAGGCAAATATGAAGGCAATATCAAACCTAAGATCAGGCTTAATATCTCTGTTTTTAAAAGTGAAGTCACTTTTTAAATTAACATACAAATAAAAGCATCATACAGCTGTTCTGAGGAAGCCACTCAAACACTGCCCAGTTCCAAACTATGCTGCTCAGTGACCTTCTGTACAGTCAGAATGGCCTTTCTGAGGCAATGGAGCTTTGCTTATGGTTTTACACTTTTACTATCAATGACATTACTTCTTTATGGTTCTTGCTACTTCAGTACCCAGAAAGTTGAATTTACTTATCTTCCCTGAAAAAAGAAAAATATGTAATAGAGTTAAAATAGACATACAATTAGCTTTATATCCTTTTTTAAAAAAAATAAAGGCTCTGTTCTTTTGTTAATATCCATTCTTCCTCATCACCTAGTATTACTATCTCCTGGTCACTTTCCAAGTTATAGACTTGGCCTACATTTAACCTGTTTACATTTATACATGTATACATTACAGGCTAGGATCCCCAAAGAGGGAGAACACACAATTTTTGTTCTGAACTTTATCCCTTAACATTATACTTCCCAAGTCCACCCATTTCTCCCCCCAAATTTCTTTTTTTCCTTTCAGCTGAATAATATTCCATTTTGTACCTATGTCAGAATTTCATTATCCAGTCTATTGGTGAACATCTAGTTTGGTTTCACTTCCAGGATACCATAAAATACAACAGCAATAAATATATATTATCTTCAAAAATTTTAGATTTATACATTTGTCTTTTTTGTGTGTATGATTGTTTTGTATGCATATGTGTATGGTGCCCTATGTGTGCCTGATGCCTTCTGATGTCAGAAGACTGTATCTGATCCCCTAAGTCTGGATGACAGTCAGTTGAGAGCCACCATGTGTTTGCTGGGGTCCTGTGCAAGAGCAACAAACTTCTCTTAACTGATGAGCCTTCTTTTCAGCCCATAATAGAATATCTGCTATCTATTTGACAATATCTATTGTATATGTAAACAACATATCTCAGTAATATCCACCCCCAATCCCTCCACCACCTGCTACTCCCCCAGGCATTACCAACACATCCCTCTGCCCCCTTCATGTCCTCCCTTCCCCCCCCACTCTCTCCCACACACACTCTGTAACCCACTGAATGAGATTAGTGTTGCCTGTTGAATTTTAACTGAACTTGTTGGCTTGTGCAAGTAAATGCAACTGTTGTGAGTTCATGGGTGCAACGGCCATGTCATGTCCAGAAGATAGCATTGCATAGCGTTCTTTCTAATCCTGTTCTTACATTCTTTCTGGCCCTTCCTTTGTGATGTTCCCTGAGCCTCTTGTCAGGGAGGGATTGATAAAGCTGTCCCTTTTAAGGCTAAGTACTCAATTATTCCCAGCAACTTATTCTCAGCATGTCGACCAGAGCCTTGCGTGAACTGACTGCTGCAGAAAGAAGCTTCTGCTGAGGACACAGGGGAACACTGACCTGTGTGTAAGCAGATGTTTGGAAGGCAGTTAACAGCTCGCCCATTTAGGAAGACAACAGTGGTAGGCACCTCCTTTATGACCAGGTTTATAGTGTGCATGAATTCCTTCCTGTGGAGCAGGCCTCAAATTTGATCTAAAAGTGATTGCGGACCCCATAACCTTCTGCTGCCCACCATATGACCATTTAATATGCTTTAGGTGTAGTCTAACAATGAGACAAAACTACAAATAGTTTGGGCTCGCAAGGTGGCTCAGAGGGTAAACATTTGCTGTGCAAGCCTGATAACCCAAGTTCATTCTGGGAGAGAACCAACTCCCAGACACTGTCCTCTGACCTTCACACCTGTGCCACGGCAGGCACATGTTCACATGCACATACGTGCATACACACACACCGTATGTCCACAATAAAAATGGAAATGCTTCATAGGAGGGTTTGGGAATGATGGACTGTTAACGATTTGTTTTTCAGATTTATGCTGGATTGAATATCTTTTTTGGAATGGTAAGCATTGGCTTGCTCACAGTTGTAGCTGTAGACCGGTACCTGACCGTCTGCTGCCCTGATGTAGGTAATGGCATGTTTCTTGTCCTTCTCAGTGATGTCATTCACCATGTATTTAAAGTACAGACGATGATTTGAAATCAGACTCTTACTTCACTAGAAACCTCTGTTCACAAGTTCCCTACAATCCTTAAAGCATAAGATCTCATTAAGCATTCTGTAAGGCCCTGCAGGATTGGCCCTGGTTGCCTTTCCAGCTTCATCCAGGGTCACTCCTGGGTACTTTGACCCTTTGGGACTTTCGTATGTGTCCTTTTCCTAGGCCTGTAAAGCTGTTGTTCATGCTTATCCGCTACATGGTTATCATTCAGGTTTTAGGTTGTGATTTTGTCAGAATGTGAAACCTCATAAGTAGCTTTGTGCACTCTAAGGAACTCTGCTGAGAATGCACTCCATTGGGTCACCAGTGGAACCAAAGTGAGTCCTGTCATTGTGAACAACACTAATGCTGCGTGTGCTTCTCAACAGGAAGAAGAATGACCACCAACACTTACCTCAGCATGATCCTGGGCGCCTGGATCAATGGCTTGTTTTGGGCTTCAATGCCCATTGTGGGGTGGGCTAGTTATGCCCCTGATCCTACTGGAGCCACCTGTACCATAAACTGGCGAAAAAATGATACGTAAGAGATGTGTTTACATTTTATCATCAGATGCTCCTGAGGTAGACAGCTCTCCTCCTCCTACCCATGGTGTCCTTGTATAGGCTGCGGCAAAGGCTCCTTTGGTAGTGATGGTGTGGTACCAATGGAGACAAACGAAAGAGTGGATTATGCTTGCTTACAGGTCACACTCATCTCCCCTTTCTTTGATCCTTTGTTCCTTCTGTCCTCGGGAAGCAATGGCGACACCCTCCCACTCTATACTCAGAGTTGGGGTCACAAGTGGGAAGAGCGATAGTGAAGCTGGAGAGTAGGCAGCTCTAACCCAAACCTAGGCCATCTCTTTATTCTCCTTTTCAGATGGTTTGGAGTTTAAGAGTATTCTAAGGGTCCCTGCAGGGATTTGCCACTTAGTTCACCAAGGAAAATGAATGATGACTCAAAAGCAAAACAAAAACAAAGATTTTCTAAAATAGTTTCTGTAAAGAGTCACATGTCAGGCCATGTTTCAGCCTTGCCATCACACCGTGAAGGCGCCGTCGACAGTGTGCAAGTGAGTGTACATGGCTGTGGTTTAGTAAACTATTATAAAGACAGATGATCAACAGGAACAGATAGCTCAGAGGCCATAGTTTAATGCTTGGAGTGAACTATGAGATTTAAGTCAAACATAATTTCTAAACTTTTTAATAACAAAATGACTGTTATCATTAATTCTAGCAAGTATTTCCTCTCCCCCTTCCCCTGGTTTAGGGCATTAAATGAGTTGTCATGATCGTTTTTTCCTATTTCCAGATCTTTCATGTCTTACACCCTGATGGTCATTGTGGTGAATTTCATTGTGCCCTTGACAGTGATGTTTTACTGTTACTACCACGTCACTCAGTCCATGAGAGTCTATGCTGCCCGGAACTGCACTGCGTACCTCAACCGAGACTGGGTCGACCAGGCAGATATAACGAAGGTAAGAAGTCAAAATCCTTGAAATGTCCTTGGTAATAAAGCTTTAACTCTGCATAGCTGGAAAGTCCTGGGGCTTCTCCCAGGCTCCTTTCCTTTATCCGTAGTTTTACTACCCAGCTCTTTCTGCTCCTGTTTGTCCCTTAGTGTTGAATACTATGCCTATCTGTTCCTTGGATGTCTCTGTGTGCTGTGGGCCCTGGGGTTCACCCTGTAGACGGTGAGGATTCCTATGTCGAACCTGGTCCTTCCCCCTTCCCCCTTCACCCACCACACCTTTTTCTCAACCTGAGGTATGGTAGCAGTATTTGGTTAGATTAAAAAGCTTTCTCTCTCCTTTTGGTATGTGCAAACATTGCAAACATACCAGACTTAAGGTTTATATTGTCTTCCCCTTGGAGCTGATCCTTCCTATACCCTTGAGTGCCTTGATTTCTCCTGGTCAGGATGCTCTATAAGCAGAGAAGCAGAGACTTTCCCTTTATCATCCAAACAGAGTGTAAAGGGCTCCTCTATACATTATTTGTACAGTAAGTAAAACGTGCTGCCAAATGGCTCCCGATGGAACTCACTTAAGATGGGACTGTGTTTCCAGATTGAGTTTAGAAAGTTTGTTTGGTTGAAATTAGCAAACAATAATGGGGGTGGGCAGCTGTCAGTAAAACTAGAAGTGGGTTGGAGAGGTTTTGCTGCATATTTGCGGGAAACCAGCCTTGTGTGCTTTCCCCAGCCCACGGTGAAAGGTGCTCTTTGCACTGATGCTACCCTCTTAGCAGCGGTGTCACGTGCTGCTCAACACAACCACTTGCAGTTGATGTCACAGATGGCTTCAGGAGCTGAAACAAAGAACAGTGTTGGCGGAGCCCCAGCTTCTTTTACATTACCAACAAAGCCCTGACCTAAGTGTTCATACTACTGTAGCTGTATTAACCATGTAAACATTTTAGATGCTAGCCTTGGTGATTATCTCTTTTTTCAGATGTCTGTGATAATGATATTGATGTTTCTGTTGGCATGGTCCCCTTATTCCATTGTGTGCTTATGGGCTTGTTTTGGAGACCCCAAAAAGATTCCTCCTTCATTGGCCATCATAGCCCCACTGTTTGCAAAATCCTCTACATTCTACAACCCTTGTATTTATGTTGCTGCCAACAAGAAGTAAGTAGTGTTTGATGTGTTTCTGAACAAAATGATAGCACAGAAAGAATATTAAAGGCCATGCGTGGCTAGTGTCTAGGACGTTCAGAGGCAAATGACAGAAACCAATGACAACTGTCACAGTTAGGGTTTCTTATGCTGTGCTAAAACACCATGGTCAAAAGCAACTTGCTGAGGAGAGAGTTTCTTTCAGCCTACAGTTCTGTATCACAGTCTATCACTGAAGGAAATCAGGGAAGGAACTCGGGCCAGAAACCTGGAGGCAGGAGCTGATGCAGAGAGCATGCGGTAGCGCTGCTTACAGACTTGCCCAGCCTGTTTTCTTACAGAACCACCTGCTCGGGAATGGCACTGCCCACAGTGAGCCAGGCCCTCCCGCATCAGTAGTCAATCAAGAAAATGCACCATAGCCTTGTCCATAGACCAGTCTGATGGGGGCATTTTCTCAGTCAAGGTTCTCTCTTCCCAAATGACTCTAGCCTTTGTCAAGTTGACAAACCAGCCAGCACAACCACCTAGTTTAAGGTTATTTAGCTTATACAACTATTGAAAATAGCCAAGACCTTATATATTTAGAGCTCTACTCTTGTGGCAGACTCTTCCCACACGGTGGCAGAAATATTCTTGGGCAACCCAGACACAAATTCTGCCAGCTCAGCAAACAAAGACCGCCTTTATCTCAAACGACCGTGTGGCAGGGAAGTTCCTGGCTGGTCGCTGGTCAGCTGGGTTTGAGTGGTTGCCGCGCCAGGTTTGTGAATAGTATTTTTTCAAAGAAAAGAGTAGACAGGCATCAAGCCCAGACAAGACACTTGGCTTCAGTAGGTAATTGACTGTATACTTACCAGGAGTGGCCAATCATAGACTCACTGAACTCCTGGGTAAAGTTTAGGTTATTTCATTTTCTATGACTGTTGGTTGATGAACCAATTTGTTGTGCTGAATCCTAGTACACCACAGAATGCCACTGCTGTGTCTAAGTGTGAGTGCTAATGCAAAGGTGGGAGAGAACAGTTTTTGCTTTAGATCTGTGAAAGAACACACAAACTTTAAGACGAGCTAGAGCACACAGGGGACCAAAGGACATATTATGAGATCAGAATCTGCTGGAAGTTCTTTGGGAAAGACCAGCCATTCTCAAGCCCCCTCAGATCCAACTGGCCTTTGCACAGAGGACCAGATTTGTATAAAATGAATAATTTAATTCAAAAAAATCACTGCACTTGGCAGTTGATGTATCATTTTAAACACACATAGGTATTGAGTTTATCAGATGTCTGCATGTTTGTCATCAGTGATACAAAATCGGCGTTGAACTATACCGTCTGTCCTATATATTTATAAAGGTTCTCAATTGGAGATGATGACATTGGGTGCAATGACTTATTTAGAGATGCCCATCCACAATAATGACTCTTTAGGCAAATGTCACCATAGAACCTTCACCCAGCAACTGATGAAAACAGAGGCAGAGACCCACATCGGAGCACTGGACTGAGCTCCCAAAGTCTAGTTGAAGAGTGGGAGGAGTGAGAATATGAGTAAAGAGGCTAAGACTATGATGGGGACACCCACTGAAACAGCTTACCTGAGCTAATGGAGGCTCACCAATTCCAACCAGACAGGGATGGAGCCAGCATAGGTCCAGATTAGTCCCTCTGAATGTGGGTGACAGTTGTATGGCTAGGGCAAATTGAAGGGCCACTGGCAGTGGCACCAGGATTTATCCTTACTGCTTATACAGGCTTTTGAGGAACCTTATTCTCTTTGGATACCTTGCTCAGCCTAGATGTAGAAGGGAGGGCCTTAGACATTTCCCAAAACAATGTGCCTTACCCTCACTGAGGAGTATTTGGGGGTGGGGGGAGAGGGGGTAGGTGAAGGAGATGGGAGGAGGGGAGGGAGTAGGAACTGGGATTGGTATGTAAAATGAAAAAAGATAGTTTGTTTTCTTTTTTTAAAAAAATAAATAAAAGAGAAAATAAAGAAAACAAAAGAAAAAAAGTTTCATGTTACCAAAGACTAACATTTTTTTCTTTTGCTTATGACAGGTTTAGGAAGGCCGTGTTTGCAATGTTTAAATGCCAGCCTCACCAAACAATACCTGAGACAAGTTCTGTCCCAATGGATATGCCTCAAAACCCATTGACTCCTGGAAGAGTCTGAAATGCAAAAAAAGAATATGCCATCAAATATTTTACTTGTTTGGGTTTTTTTTTTGGCAGTACATTGATGTTGTTTTAAATATGAATTCATTTAGATCAAGTGCGCACAAACACCATTGCCTTATTGACTGCAGTTTCCTCCCTCCCAGCCAGCACAGCTCTGTTGTGCAGAGGTTGTCGTAGCCGTCACTGTGTCCTCAAGGAGAACTGAGTAGCTAGGGTAGCTAGGGCTCCTTCTGTGAGTCCAGGCGCACAACTGCAGGCTCTCTTCTTTCTCTTTAGAAGGCACACATGACAGTGTGTTGATGACATGCAAACTTGGCTGAGTTTCCATTAGACAAGAAATGGCCTCTAGAATATTAGAATATTTTAATATTAGGAAAAATTAATAAGAGATTGATCAAAATTACAATCCTGAATAATTAATTGCTGAAATGAGTTGGTCAATGTTTCCAGCTATGCAAAAACATTTTAGTATCTCAAAATTTTGAGTTTAGAATCAATTATTAGTTCATATTACTTAAACATATTTAAACATAAACACAGCTGCTTTCTATCATGCCAGTCTATTGTTCATATACATTTTATAGTAGTATAACATCTGTCGTTATATCTGTTATAGTAGTATAACATTGTTGTCATTGTTTTTTGTTTTTTAATTTTTCAAGACAGGGTTTCTCAGTGTAACTGCTCTGACTGTCCTGGAACTTACTTTGTAAACCAGGCTGGCCTCAAACTCACAGAGATCCACCTGCCTCTGCCTCCCAAGTGCTAGGATTAAAGTCATATGCCACCACTGTCCAGCTGTATATTTTGTTATATATTCTAAACTTGTGTTGTTTTAAAAATATTTTAATTTGTGTGTGTGTGTGTGTGTCTGTGCACAATCATGTGGTGCATCCCTGCGTGTGTGCATATGTGCCTGCTTGCCTTCAGAGACCAGAAGAAGGCATCAGGTATTCTCAAATGGAAATTACAGGCAATTGTGAGTCACCCGAGGGTGTTGGATACTGAATTCAGGTCCTCTGGAAGAGAATCAAGAGGTCTTAACCAACCCCTAAATTACCATTTTTCTGAAAATATATTTCCTACGTCTGCCACTAGAATTAAGTTCAAACAGAGTAGGGCTTTTTGTATTTTTTCCTTTGTTGTGTCCTTCACATATAGGCTCATTCTGTCTGGCACATGGTAGACACTCTGCGAATGGATTTGTAGATTGACAGTTTGTCTTTTTTTGTTTGTTTGTTATTTGTTTTTCAAGACAGGGTTTTTCTGTATAGCTCTGACTGTTCTGGAACTTGCTTTGTAGACCAGGATGGTCTTGAACTCGAAGAGATCTGCCTGCATCTGTCTTCTTAGTGCTAGAATTAAAGGTATGTGCCACCACCACGAGCTCAATTTGTCATTTTTTAATGGCTGTGGCCATTAAATATAGCACAATATGCCATTATTTAAAAGGAGACAACTAAGCTGTTTCAATTTACTTAACTTTTTCTTATGAGGCAAGGTCTGTTTATGTAGCCCAGCCTGACCTCAGACTGACAATGATCAGCATCTCAGTGTCTGGGATTACAAATGTGTACCACCATGCCTCATATATATATATATTGCTTTCATAGATATAAAAATTGGAAACACGATAATACAAATATCTTTGTAGGGATTAGAATCAGTTTATTCTATTTGAGTTTTTATCCAGGCTAATGTTATTGGATAGAAATATAAAATGATTTATTATTACTAGCTTTCTTCATGGAATAGTTCTGTATCATATTGGCTCTTATTTCACATTCATTAAAATATTGCTGTCTAATATTTCAAAGTTATGAGTAGTTATATGCTGTAGTATGAATTCATCTTATTTCCCATCTTTCTAAGTTCTTGTTAGACTATATATCTTTCTATATTGCCACCATGGTGCAGGACAATTGTCTGTATTCTGTCAATTATGTTTTAAATAAACGCTGATTGGCCAGTAGACAGGCAGGAAGTATAGGCAGGACAACCATACAGGAAGTAGAGATGGGTCAATGAGGAGAATTCTGGGACGAACGAACTCCTGGTTGGCAGTGTGACCCCAGCCACTGAAGAGACAAGATGTGACTATGCTGCTGAAAAGGTACTGAGCCATGTTGCTAACACAGATAAGAAAAATGGGCTAATGTAGGTTACAAGAGTTAATAAGAAGCCTGAGCTAATGGGCCAATCAGTTTATCATTAATATAGACCTCTGTGTGATTTCTTTGGGACTAAACGGCTGTGGGACCTGGTGGGAGGACAGAAACCAGGCAGGACAGAAACTCAGTCAACACCTCCCCCATTAAAAGTCTGCCTACTATAGTTTTATCGATACCATTTTCTTTGGGTAGATAATGGTAAATTACTATAGCAACCTCCTAGTTTGACTTTCCATCTTCTGCCTTTGCCCACTGCAATCATACATTAATTCCATAGCCAACTTTTAAAAATACATTTCTAGTCCTTCAAATCTTTCAGAGTTGACTTTCAGCAGGCTGTTGTATTAGTAACTTGTCCCTGTGGCAACAACAACTTAAGGGAGGCAGAGTTTACTCAGAGGGAATTGAGTTCAGCATGGGGACAGGTGAGGCAGCTGGTCACATGGTATCCCCAGAGAGAAAGCAACGTGGCATCAATTCTGGTCTTCACTCCCTGTCTCCATTTCAGTCTGGGACCCCAGCTCATGGATTTGTGATACCCACACTTAGGGTGACACTTTCTACCCCCGTTATCCCAATCTAGAAAGTCCCTCACAGACATACCCAGAGATCTGTCTCCTAGATGTGTCTACATCCTGTCAAGTTTACCATCACACCCGTGAAGGAGTCTAGATCCTGTGCACAGAGACTGCTTTTTTGTTTCCCAGCCTCCCTGACCCAAATGATCACACAGAAATTATATTAATTACAATACTGTTTGGTCAATAGATTAGGTGTATTCCTAGCTAGTTCTTACATTTTAAATTAACTTATTTTTATTAATCTGTGTATCACCACTAGGCTGTGGCCTACTGGTAAGTTTTCAGTGTCTTTCTCTTCTTTTGCAGCCACAGGGAAGCTGCCTGACTCTGCCTTCTTTCTCCCTGCATTCAGTTTAGTTTTGCCTTCTTTCTCCCTATATTCAGTTTAATTTTCCCACTTAGCTCTATTCTGTCCTGCCATAGGCCAAAGCAGCTTCTTTATCAACCAGTAGTAATGAAGCATATTCATAGCATGCAGAATGGAATCACATCATCTCCCTTTTCTGTCTAAATAAAAAGGTTTTAACTTTAACATAGTAAAATTATATATAACAAAATAGATATCAAACAAGAATTACAGTTACAATATTTCTTTGTGAATCTAAAGCTTCATGTCTAATTTATCTTTTATCATACCTAAGGAAAACTGTAACTATTTGTCTTCAACTCCATCAAAGTCGCCAGAAGGATATAATATTACCTAAGTAAACAGGAAGTGCACTGTAAGCAACTTCCAAAACTCTAGAATTGACAGAGACATCTTGCTGCCTGGATAGTCACTCAAAGTTCTTCTGTAACATAGGGACATTCATATTCAGCCTGCAGGTTTGCAGTGTCTGGCAGACTTTCCCATGAAGCAGGAAATTTGAAAGACTGTTTTGCCTGTATTGGCAGCTTGTCAGTCACTTTCTTCTGCGTCCTGCAGAATGTCTGGCAGACTCTTTCATGAAACAGGAACCCTGAAGGATCATCTCACCTTTAGGCAAGTTCAGCAATCATTTTTCTGTGGGTCCTACAATTCCAGTTCATACAGTATACCATCAAGCAGTCTAGGCAGGAACAGTTTCTTGCCCAAATGACTAACAAACTCCTTAAGGAATCTCTTCAGTGCCCAGAATTCTTCTATAACATTGGGACATCTATCTTCAGCCTACAGGTCCATAGTGTCTGGCAGACTTCCTTGAAGCAGGAAATTTGAAAGACTGTTTAACCTGAATTGGCAGTTTGTCAGTCATTTTCTTCTGTGTCCTGTAGACTATCTGTCAGTTTCCAGTGTGAAGCAGGAACCCTGTCTTTTGGAAAGTTCAACAGTCACTTTTTTATGGGTCCTGCATGTCCAATTTATACAGCATACCATCAAGTAGACCAGCAAGATCAGTTTCTTGTCCAAATGGCTAGCCTTGTCACATTGCAGGCAAATTCCATAACAAGTTTGCTGCCAGAAGCAGATATGTCTCACTGTCAAGAAAAGTCTTAAGTTCTTTAAACCTTTTAAATGCCATATTCTGTAGGTCTTTGAAGTGTTGAAGATTATCTAACTGAAATATATCATTGTATATCTTAAAAAAATCTAACACGACTACAAGTTTGACTATTATAGATAACTATTAATCCATAATTTTAAATTATACTTACATTTTTAAATGAGCTGTATAAACATAATACCTTAAACAAAAGTAAAACTATACATACAACAAAATTGACCTTAAATTTGTACCAATAGCCCAAGATCCATACAATGCAAAGAATTCACCTCTATATCATATCCATTTTTTCTTTAGAAAGAACTTGCCTATGACCATTAACCAATTATAGTCAATCCCCTGTAAATGAAAACATTTATAAACAATCATTTTGGGAATTTTGTTATTGTCTCTAAACTGCTCCCTGTTGGTTGCTGAGCAAAGTATTTTTAGGATTCATGGAAACATTTTGGGGGTTTTTGGTCCATCAGACCACATTAGCCTGGCTAATCTGGTATGGGAAGTCCTTCTGTCTATATGTTGCTTTTATTGGTTAATGAATAAATCTGTTTCAGCCACTGGCTTAGCAGAATAGAGGAAGGCAGGAGTACCAAGCTGATAGAGAAGGAGAGAGTAGGTGGAATCAAGGAGAACCCAGGTAGCCGCTGCAGGAGACAGATGCTGGACAGAACTTTACCAGGTAAGCCACTGACACATGGCAATACACAGATTAATAAAAGTGGGCTAACTTAAGATATTAGGAGTTAGTCAGGAATGCATTTAAGCTATTGGCCAAACAGTATTGCAAATAATATAGTTTCTGTGTGATTATTTTGGGTCTGGGCATACGGGAATAAATGGGCAACCTCTGCCAACAGTTTTATCTTCTGTGGAAACAAAAGTGGAACCTCTTTTTTTCAAAGTAACATACCCTTAAACTCAAATTTTGAAATCAAGATACCTTTAATATATATATATATATTGATTTATCTTAGCAGCTCCCATAATTAAATTTCTCTCTACAATTAGCTCATTAACAGTCAAAAAATTTAAAACATAGTAATACACAAAATCCAGACTCTGTGTATATTTCATTTTGACATGGCTTTTTTACTCTGTTTTTAATATTTACTTTATTATCTTTACTCCTTTAATCTATGACTGTCTGTACTCTTATACTACTTTTACTGTCTCTTTAATAACTTTGTTTTATTTTAAAAACAATTTCTATAACTGCCTATACCCATTTTATTTTTTTTCTTAAGCCTACATACATTTTTTAAAAACACTGTGACCCATTCAGATGTTTATTTTAGTCTAAATCTGTCTTTATTGCATATCTGTAATCATTTTCTGACCAAGAGTGCTTTTTAAAAAAATGCTAAGTGGGTGTGGCTAGGACCAATTCTGCCTGTTGGCTACCAAGCTGTTCTTTTTGTTGGTCTAGAAGCCCTCTATTTTTCTTAAGCTTTTTTAGATCTTATGTGGATCTATGCCCCAGATGGTGGGTGCCATTTGTAAACAGAGACTGCTTTTTCATTTACCTGTTGCCTGACCTGAATAATCACATAGAAACTATGTTAATTACAACACTGTTTTGCCAATAGCTTAGGTGTATTCCTAGCTAGCTCTTACAACTTAAATTAACCAATTTCTACTAATCTATGTATCACTATGATGCTAAAGACTACAGATAAGGTTCCTTTGGCAGCTACATGGCATCTGCCTGGCTCTAACCAATTTCTACTAATCTATGTATCACTATGATGCTAAAGACTACAGATAAGGTTCCTTTGGCAGCTACATGGCATCTGCCTGGCTCTGCCTTCTCCTTGCATTCAGTTTAGTTTTCCCACCTAGCTCTATTCTGTCCTGCCATATGCCAAAGCAGCTCCTTTATTAACCAATGGTAATAAAACATTCATAGCATACAGAGGGGAGTCCCACACCAGGATCCCTTAGCTGCAAGGTCAAAACCCTCCTGAGCATGGCCTCAGAGAGCCTTTCTTCCTCAGCTTGGCCCCAAAGAGACCTCCTTCCTCAGCCTGGCCCCAGAAATACTTCCGTCCTTAACATGGCCACAGAGAGACTTCTCATCTTTTTGTGATTCTCTGTGACAACATTAAAATGTGTTGTACTCCTGAGTTCTTTGTGCCAGGAGCTGCTGGCTTGTTCAGCCACTGCAGTTAAGCTGCTTACAGAGACAAAATGACAGCAAGGGTCATGAGAGCAATTAGACGGGAGAGACAATAGTCACCGAGCAGTTAGATGGCAGAGACAGTATTTGACACATTATCTAGAGAACTGACTGTGAATTCTAGTTTGTAAAGGTTTGAACTCATGTCTACCAACAAAGGATAACTTCACTTTAAAAATATAACGAATTTAAGTGGTCCACTAAAATTTTAACACTGTATCAATCAACTAATTTATACAATGAGACTGACCATGCATTGAGTCTGGTTCCCTGTAGCCAGTGGGCTAACTAGCTTGATACTTTGTCACTAAACAGCTTTTCTATACTTAGTTGGCCACATCCTGCTTCTCTAGGGCAAAACATCCATAAACCTGATAATATAAAGAGCCTTTTGGTCACTTAGCAGAGTTCTGCCACCAACCTATTTTCTTCCTCTTGTGCTCGGTAACTCAGAGTTACCACCCATCACTGTGTCCTGAGCACTAGGAAACCTTGGGATTGTTTTTAAATCCAGTCTTCTTCATCCCCATAACTAATCAAGTGATTCTCCTGCCTCTGTGTTTCTCAAAACCACACTCTCCACACTCTTACCAGAACAGGGAGGTTGCAACTCATGGCTGTTCACTTGGACCATAGCTAGTGGTGCCTACTTACAGCCTCCAGCTTCCCTCTTGCCTGTTCTACACCAGGGGCTCTCAACCTGTGAACTGTGACCCCTTGGTGACGGGGTGTTAAACAACCCTTTCCCATATCAGATATCTTACATACCATATATTTACATTATAATTCATAACAGTAGTAAAATGACAGGAAGTAGCAAAAATAACTTTATGTTTGGGGTCACCACAACATTAGGAGCTGTGTTAAAGGATCACAGCATTAGGAAGTCTGAGAATCACTGCTCTATACCTTTCCACACAGCCACCAGGAAATCCATGTAATCTATCGACCTGACGAGCCACTCACAGCTTAACCTTTATGTTTTTGCTGCCTGGAGGCTGAGTGTGGCTCTTTAACTGGGCATCTAAGGCTCTTCCTCTGCACCCTCAGCCTCAGATGCTTAGCCCTGAGCAATAGAAAACGCTTGCGCTTTCCTGAGGTTCTCTTGAAGCTTCACACACACACACACACACACACACACACACACACACACACACACAC